AAAAAAAAAACTGTGCTAGCATCAAGAGAGCCTACGCAGAGAGGGCAGGCCAGTGGGGAGACAAGCCTGGAGGTGTCCTGCGTCCCCAGGAGGGTGGCGGACGGACGCAGCTCATCAGAAGAGTCTCGGCCTCGTTCTTGTTCTCTTTGTTTTGCTATAAAGAACATTAAAAGGTGAACTCTCAATACAGAAGCAGAGAATGTATAACCATCCCAGCCTACGGAGGGAAGCAGTGGGCGTGAAAGCACTGAAGCCACACCAGAAGTCAATGAAACTACCGGGACTGACAGACGGGTGAAGCACAGCACAAACATGTCACTTAAAACACAGAGAGGGCATCTATTAGAAAGAGCAGATAAGAGGCTTTGCCTCTAGGTGGGGATTATGTTCTGATCTTTAAAAGTGATATGGGGTGGTGCCTATAGCTCAAGGAGTAGGGCGCCAGCCCCATATACCAGAGGTGATAGGTTCAAACCCTGCCTCAGCCAAAAAAAAAAAGTAATATGTACTTTGATAAACTTTTAAAACTTTATTTTGAAAACATAAAATGAAGCCAGTATCATGACATCACCTCAAGGGCACTGTGAGGGTCAGGGGCATGGACAGAGGAGACAGCACATCTGGACAGTGCTCAGGAGCCATCTGCAGGCCACCTGACGGGGAGAACAGCAGGGGCCTGGGGGTGACACAGGATGCCGCGGCAGACAGGGCTCCCGCCTTTCCAGGGAAGACTCAGATATGAGGAAAATGAGCCCCCGCTCCTGTTACGCTAGCTCCTCTGTACACAGTCCGTAACACTTGGTGTCATCTAGTTACACATATTAAAACTACAATTTATAATAACATAAAATGCCTGCTGATGTTCTACACCTTTACTTCAGAAGTCATCCGTCAGTCATCAATGTACAAACAGGAGCTTCAGGACAATGATATTCAAGCATACAGTAGAACCTCTGTAAGGTGACCACCCACGGGACTGTAACAAACTGGTCAACATATGGAGATGGCCACCATAAAGAATGGGGGCTGTTGTGCTGACACGCACATGTGGTGCATGTCCAGCCTGTGAAAACAGGGTCAGCTTCAGGAGGTGGTGGGTGCAGGGAGGTGGGCAGCTATGGGGTGTCTACTCTAGTCTTCCAGCTCCTCTAAATCTTTTGCACCAGTAAGCAAAGCCCATTAGAGAACCATAAACTAACGCAACAGTAGCAACCCTCTTCTCTTGTAGGACAATTCTGGAACCCTGCTCTGAAGGGACAGGGCTAAGGCCCAGCAAAGTGACCCCTGACCCCAGTATTTCCCCCCTCATGATCAGAATTCCCTTCTACAAAACAGCGCCACAGAGGAGACTGCAGAGAAAGCTAACACACAATGGGACTTTTTTTTTTTTTTTTTTGAGACAGAGCCTCAAGCTATAGCCCAGGTAGAAATGTTGTGGCATCACAGTTCACAGCAACCTCCAACTCCTGGGCTCAAGCAATTCTCCTGCCTCCGCTTCCCAAGTAGCTGGGACTATAGGCACCTGCCACAATGTCCAGCTATTTTTTTTTTTTTTTGGTTGCAGCTGTTGTTGTTTGGTGGCCCCGGACTGGATTCGAACCCACCAGCTCAGATGTATGTGGCTGGTGCCTTAGCCGCTTGAGCCACAATGCGACATTTTTAAGTTCACTTCCATTGATGAGGTAATGTGCATTAATTCAACACCCACAGGGTACTCCACCAGAACAGGGATGCCCTCAGGGAGCCTGGGTCCATGTGTCACCTGCTCCAAGCAGGTGGGCACTTCTGGCCCATGGGAGACCCCCTGGCTTGTCTAATCCACACATTCTACAAGAGCCTGTTTCATGCCCAGCTCTTCTGCAAAACTGCTTCCAGAACCCCTTCAGTAGGAAATAATCTTCCTCCCTCTGAATTAACTCTCATGATATATTCATGTGCAACTGTCTCAACTCTGTTTAGACTGTACATTTTGGCAGACAGAGGTTACAGGGTATGTACCTCTCAGCACAAAACATGATTTTTATGTCCCTTCCACAGACTCACAGCTATTAGCAACTAGTTGCTGAGTGACAATTAGATTTTTAGTGATATTGATCACAAAAATTAGTAAAGAAACAAATCAAAACTGATGGAATCCCACCTTACGGTGAAGAGGCATTAAGTGCCTGTCAGTCCAAGACCAAGGTGCTCGTTTAAAAGCTGCAGCATCAGGACGGTGGAGCTCACAGTGCCCCTCACACCACTCCCCTGCTTTGCTATCTGAAACTGCCTACAAAAGAGTCAAGAAAATGATAGAGGCTGGGCACAGTGGCTCAGACCTATTACCCCAGCATGGAGGAGGAGGAGGAAAGGAAATGACAGAAACGTTTGTGATTCATCCCTGATAAACAGTTTGTCTGCACTCTGGGCAAGAGAGAACCAGGATGCTAAGTCTTCATGTTCTCTGAACTCTAGTGAATCTCGTAAAGCCAGAGCAGAGTAGTTGATGAATGAAAACACAGTTCTGGGGGCAAAGAAGGAAACGCTGGATTCAGATGGCGCGGCTCATGCTGCACAGGCTGTATGCGCCCCCAGCCTCAGCCACATAAGGAATTACTTTCCAAACTGGAAAATGAGTTTGAAGCAGAGGTAGCCAGACACTCTCACTTCGAGTGGGTGGGACAGAGGACACAAAGAGTGTGGGGTGGGGCTGTCTGCGGAGACCTGTACCCTCAGAGCCCAACCAAACCTCTAGCACCACAGAGGGCCCAGGTAAACTGCTCACTGCAGTCTACCCAGAATTTAGGTTTTTCTGAATCAGAGCTGCTTTACTGGCCAAGCTAAACAGCAAACCATATCCCATTCTGGTAGATATTTTGATCTGGGTCTTTATGTAAATTAACATAAATACTTATGCATTTTTAATATAAGTGCTTTTAAATGAGCTATGACTAAGCAGGCAGAGTCAGCAGAAGTTGTCAGGGAACTCAGCGCCAGGGCCACAGCCCAGACCCGGGGTGCTGGGAAGGGAGGCTGGGATGCGCAGGTGGGCTCTCTTCCTGCTTCCAGGAACGCCCTCAAGCAGCCGGAACAGGGCATAGCAGAGGGAGGGGCAGGACTCAAAATTTTAACGGGTGCTAGAAAGAGTTTTGAATTTACTATTTACTTTCCCTGTAGCTCAAAAGAACTGAAGGGGCTCTTATTTGCTGCCAAGAGCAACAGCAGGGAAGTTACACTGGAGAAGAACCCAACTCATCTTGCAGTTTCCAATTCTTCTCCATGAGCTGACACCCCAAGGGGCGCCCCAGGGATGGTCAGGTCTCAGTCAAAGAGCCTGCCCCAGCTGTTTGTGTGAACACCACCAGGAAGACTGTCTCCCAACCAAAATCAAAAACCCCATTAGGAAGAGATGCTGGAAAAAGGGCCTCCTTCCTGTGCACGTGGGGGCATGTGACGTCTACAGGAGTCTGGAGGAGCGGGGTCAGGGGTTGCCTCCCTTCTCCATCACAACAATGAGCAGGGGCAGCCAATGTGGGGAGCTTCTAAGTCTGTGCTGGGAGAGGTAGGGGCAGAAGGCAGCAGGGATCAGAACCTGCCCCTCTCTCAAACTCATTTATCTGCAAAAGCTTTCAACTCACTGGCAGTTTTACCCAACAATAAGAAGAAAACAGCAGGTAAACATTTAGTACATATAATTATTCCCTTACCAAGAAATTTCCTAAACCTCCTATTAACACAATA